CATCATCTATAGAGGAGAGGAGAGAAGAAGATTACGCGATCTGAACGAGTTGAACGGCGCGATGGGCGGAATCGCGCCGCCTCAAATGGGCGGCGCGACCCCGCCCATCGCGCCAAACGACCGGCTCCCACTCCACTATCCGTCCCGTTTCCTTACCCGCGGTCATTTTTGGCCGCGTTGAATATCTGGCGGGCAAGGATCAAGGTAAAACAAATAGGGTGCGCCATGAAAGAAAGCATGTCGAAGGAGAATTTTGCGTCCGTTCCATTTCATTTCACCGGGTAAGAGCTGGGTGCCTGTACTGATTTTCGTTCGTTTTGCGAACAAATCTGTGCGTGGCTTGCTTAGTATGGGAGGAATTGTTGGTAAACGCATTACAATGGTTTCCCTATACGCAATCTTTTTCAATTTTTTTGCACTTATATCAGCCCACATTAATGTAATGTTAACCAATTAATGATCAAGACTAGTTTGTGAATCGAATCGATAATCGAAGCCTACCTAAAGTTAGTGTGAGATTCACACTATTTGGATATTGCATATGTTCATTCATAGTCTCTGACTGCCACCATGTTTCATTATTAGCATTATTAAAGTCGGTGAGGTAACGAGCCGGATGCGCAAATGCCTAAAGATAGTGATCATGGAAGTGTTCTGCGGAAATCGAAATTCTAAGCCATTTCGAAAGGCTCATAAAAATCTTAGTAATCTCCGAGTAATATGTAAACTGGTTTAGAGTTTCTTCTCAAAATTTTCTTATTAGAGCGGCTCTTAGAGTGATTTTTTATAAGTGATCAAAAGTAATAGTCAAAAGTGATCCCATGCAAGTTCTACAAAATTACGGCACAAATTTATTACATCTTCAGCCCGAGAGTGCAATTGGCACACTTCAGAGTAAAGAGCTGAGCACTAAGCGCGCAGGGTTGAGCGTTGAACGTGGAGGGTTGCTGGCAATCTGTTGACAACGCTGGACGTCGATCTATACCGCACGGGTGGGCGGTGACTGATATCTCGGTATGGATTGTTGACCGCCTCTTTCTTCTGCATTGCTTTCTTTTTGACATTTTTGATTCTTTTTCTTTTTTTTTGCCTAATGAGTATGTATCAATTCAAGAGAGTATTCCGTTAGCCGGTCTTCTTTCACATCATTGTTACCCCTCATGTCGTCACGTTATTTCCAAGCCTGCTCATACTACTTTTAACCACATTTATTTTCAAAATCACTAGCTCTTTTGAGAAAAAAAACTATGGCCTATTCTTTGTTGAACATTCAGTATAACTGTAGAAAAGGGCACCTTGCTGACGGCGCTGACGCTAATGCACTTGCACGCGCGTCCTATTCTAAACGGCGCCGTGCGAAGCGTCGACGGTAGGCGTGGGCGTGAACGCTCAGCGCTCAGCGCCTATTTAGAATAAGACGCGCGCGCAAGTGCGTTGGTGTTCAATACCTGGTCTAAATTTCAGTGTATACGCGTTAAAAAAAACGTGCTTTCGTTTCAAATGAGTAATCGACTTTGTTGAGAATATTCTTCTGATACATCAAAAAGGGCGTCCAAACATCTAGAGTAAGAAGCAATGTGTGTTAGATTCCACAGATATAATACTCAATCGTGTTCCATAAATAGTACTTATACTAATACGGCCGTCTTCACCATGTGCGAGCACCAGCATCAAACCATTCCCTTGTGTCTTTCGCGATCGCCATGCACGGTAGACTCAGGATTCGACGAGGATGACGATGTCAGTAGTCGTTCAGCTGTTGTCGCAGCGGTTTCACGTGATCGACAAGCACATCCCCCATCTAGCAGCAGGCCTACCCATAGATCGTGAAGACCCTACGGTAGCCCACTCGACTATTCTTCTTGTCCATCTGTCACCATCTCTTCTCATTATATGACCGGAATTTTGCGTTCTTCATGTATTCCACCGGATCGCGGAGTCGAGACATTCTGCGCATATCGGAGCTGCGGAGTTCGGCTCGATATTGCGTGAGTCGGTTGAACCTCAAAAGACATTGCTCGAGCGCTCTGTGACTTGTGTTCAAAGCCCTTGACGTGGATAAACTGGTCACCCAAGTCTCGGACCCGTAACAGAGCGCAGGAAGAACTGTGGAATCAAACAGATTAGCGCGACGTTCAGGGTTAGCCAGATGGTTGGTAACCTCTTTCGGAGGTCCGAAGGCTGCCCACGCTATTTTCTGCCTTCTCACCAGTTCTTCCCTCATGTCACTGTGCATATTCATGGAACGCTCGAGATAAACGTATGACGAGGTCCCCTGGAAGGGTCCATCGATCTTAATTTGACCTTCTCTGGCCCAAGCATTCTGTATGAATTGTGTCTTTGTTTGGTTGATCCACAGCCGTACCTTCTTTCCTGCTTTATTAGGCTCAGCAAGCATAGTCTCAGCTTCCGCAATGCTGCTTGGAAAGAGAGCGAGATTTGAGAGGAACCGCCCATCCGCACAAATGCCCTTCTCGTCCCAGTCGAGCGACTTCATAACCCACTGCAGCGCGGCTAAAAATAGCTTCGGCGAAAAGTGCCGCCTTGTTTCACACCCTTCCCTATGGGAATGGGGAGAGGTCGTTGGAACAAATGCACCATCGCGCTGCAGCGACTGCTGCAGTCAGCTAGTGTTGTTATGTAGGGAGGGTCTATTCCTTGAACGACCAGTGCTGACAGGTCCGCATTCGTTTCGACGCTGTCAAAAGCTTTTTCATAGTCGACAAAGGTAAGGACAAAAGGCCTTCTCAATTCTCGGCACACTTCGATGGCCATTGCGACCGCTTGGATGTGGTCTAAGCACTGAATTCCTTCCGGAATCCGGCCTGCTCCACAGGCTGAACTTCACATCCAGTTCATCCAGCGTTCGCGATATGCGGGTCGGAATGATCTTCGTGAATAGCTTGTAAAGCACACTTCACAAGCTTATTTGGGCGGTAATTGCGAAGATCATCCCGGTCTCCCTTCTTGTGAGGAATGACCATCCGCGAGTTCCTCCACTGTTGGGGATCTTCTCCTTCTGGATGGAAGGATGTCATATGTGTAGCGAGAAGCGCATGAAGTTCGTAGCCGCCTGCACGGAGTAGGTCGGCTGAGAAGTTGTCGGGGCCTGGAGTTGTGCCCGTTTTCATGGTCGCAATCGCAACTCCCACCTCCGAAGGAAGGATCCGAGAAGCTGTTCCGCCAGTGGGGATTTTTGGTTTTCGTACGTGTGTCGCGGATCGATACAGTTTGGTGTGAAACCTTAGTGTAACTTCCTCCATCTCAAATCTCGATGTTGTAAGTGTTCCGTTCGAGATCCCGATGGCATTTTCTCAGACTAGTTCTGTTCAAGACTGCCTCCAGTAGTCTCCTCTCCCTGTATAGCTGAAGGTCTTGCCGCACCGCTTGTCTGCAGCTGATATTCGCTTGCAGCCTTTCAAGATGTGCGGCGCCTCTACTCGCAAGCTTGGTCTATTCAGCACAAGTGAGGAGGCCCCGAACCAGCGCGTCGTAGTCTTCGGTCGGGTCATCCAAATCCTGCCAGTCATATCCGGACAAGACGTCTTTCAGAACACCTCCGTCGTATACAACGTGCTTCGAGCTATTTGCGCGATGTTGAGAGATCTTCTCCAGCTTGTGACTGAATCTGATCTTACAAGGGAAGGATCCCAAGTCGAAGTGGCCATTTGAAATGAGACCTATACTGCTAAACGTATTTTTTGATGCTGATTTCAAATCTGCATTCAAAATTTGCCAAACGATCCTCTGAACGAAGTTATGGAGGTGGTCTCCGGAGGGCGCTCAACAGGGGAAAAGCACATAAGC